GGGGGGGGGGGGGGGGGGTGTGGGTTGGTTTAAGAAATGGGATCGACAAGTGCCATCGCCCCAGCGAGGTGGCGGCTGTCAGAAATGGGATCAGCCGCGATAGCCAAACGAGGGGGTACTGGTAGGTTTGAGAAAGTTTGAGAAGGGCATTAACTGCCGAATGAGGGGGTGGGTTTAAGAAATGGGATCAGCCACCATCGCTGAATGAGGGGGTGGATTGGAACAATAGCATCAGCCGGTCATCGCCTGAGTGACTAGGGTGCGGCTTTAAGAAATGGAGCATGAGGAGGGAGCCGTGCCTAAGAGAGGGCATCAGCTGCCATTTGCCATCGCCTACTGAGGGTCGCGAGCTGGTTAGCAACATGTGTGCCATCGCCTACGGAAGGGTGGTGTAAGAACCCGGGTCCAGAGCCATCGCCATCGCCTAATGCAGGGCGGGCTGGAACAAATTGATCAACCATCATCCTTTCTGGGCGAGCTTAGTTGCTGGCATATCCAGATTCGAATGTCATGGTATCTGCGATGAGTCGCGCTTTCCGAAGCATGCTGGAAGCGTGTAAATAATAGGACGTGCACGCAAACTATGCACCATACCATATCGCTTGAGTAGGATTTGTGCGCAGCCAGCAAGAAATCTGGCAAAAGATACAAAAGCGCCCCCGACAAGAGGACAGCCAGCTGCTCTCGCGACGGTGTTTCTGGTGCTAGCCTGTTGGGCTTCGTCCTGAGCCGCAGACGCTGAAGGCGACGCATCTGTTCGCCATTGCTGGGTGCTGGTGCGAAGAGTGAAGCTCAGTTCGTCACGGGTGCTCTGATCCGGATCCCGAGCTTGTGGCAGAGGCAGTTCCCCATTGACCTGGCGGCGCGTTGTGCCAGTGAAGCAGCCAGGCGCTCAGGCAGAAAGAGCGGTAGAATGGTGAGGTACGGCATGGTCGAGCTGAGTACTGTCCAAGTTAGGGAGTCTCAGGTCATCCTGGAGTTGCGCAACCCGACGTTAATGGACTTGGAGGTGATGACCTTCATCGATCGGCGCAAAGACTGCGTTGACCACTTGATCCATGAGGCCGGAGTGTACCTCGCCACATCTCGCAAGCGGGTCGTGCAAGCTGTCCAGTTCAGCGGAAAGCTCAACCCAGTCAAGTGAGGAAGGCTGCGAGCTGGAATGAAGTGGTGAAAGCAAGGGAACTCCGAAGCACATGGTGCAATTGCCCAGGCCTAGATGACTCAAGCCTTTGATGCTGACAGATTGCTCAAGATCGGTGCTTTAATAGCAGTTTTGCAGCCTCACGGAGCTCAGCTAGCTACCGGATAGCTTGAGTGCGTGAGTGCGTGGCTCTGATGGATCAGTGTCCCGATGGATCAGCGTGCAACAATCTGCCCATGTAGTCTTTCGAAAGTGTACCGCCGGGACCGGAGACTTGTCAACAAGTGCTTAACTACACATCACAAACGCAACGCTTGATGGAGTGGGCCGATTCTGCGTCGACATGGCGAAGGCGTCAAATGCATAGCTATGATCGGGATATCGCGCGCCCCCTTGGCCTTTGTTATTTGGACTATCTGTGGCTTTACCTTTTGATCTGTGGGTTTAACACCTTCTTTGCTGTCATATCTGTATTTGTCATATGAGTCATTGGTGGTGCGGAAAGTGCACCACTAGTGACACTAGTTACTAGTGTCTGGCTGGTTTGCATTGTCTTTGTTCTGGAAATCCCAACCCAAAACTCTTCGGATGCCTGGAAACCTCCCGAGAAACGCAGAAGGAATCAAGCAGCTTTAAACCCAAAGCCTTTATAAGCGTAAACCCCAAGGCCCTTACGACACCGAAATGCTGAATCCGAAGATTGTAAGCCCTAAGACCTCCGCGAAAGGCTCAAACCCTCCAGACAATCGACTCGAACACCTAGAAATGACAAACAGCCGACCCGCAAGTTTCAAAACCCGAACCCTGAAAACCTTAAAGTTTAATTGAACAAATTTTAAGACCCAACACTCGAAAACTTGAACCTTGGGGACCAAATGACCCTTATAAGTAGGGGCCCTATACCTTCACACTATGAATCCCTATATGGTTTGTGAACCCTAAACCCTTCAGGGTTCATTTCGTCCTTAAGGAAAGCCCCATGCTCGCACAACTCCCCATGACCTCGAGCGGAAGCCCGCAAGCCCAAAATGCCCTAACGGCACAAAGCTACGCTTCAGGAGCAGAGCTGTTTCAAGCAGGACGTTTGAGTTTGGTCTGAGCTGGCCTCCTAGGTCGCGTCCGTCTCTCTTCCTTGGGCGCAGGACTTCAGAGAGCTCGAGGAAGCCTTGGAAGAAGGTCTCTGGGAGGCCTTTGGGCCGTGAGACGGGGCCGCGAGGCCGCTGCCAGTTTGCCTCGGCGACAGGTGGAAGGCGACAACCTTTACTTTGCGGTGGAGGCTTCTGTGGTAGCATGTGCAGGGCACTCCCAGAAGAGATAGTGTCCCCCTAGTTGGAGGCCAAAGATGCTTCATCCGCCGGGGCAGCCGCACTCACAGCAGCCACTATCCATGACACGCAGTGAGTGCACGAGCACTGAGGTAGTAGCCAGTGACGGTGGCGTGGGTTCAATCGCAGAGCTTGTGTCCCAAGCTGAGTGCAGACCAAGAATCGGAACTCGACACTAATCGCCGTGTGTGGAGGCACCAGCTCAATGGTGGACACGGCTGTCAGGTCTGCCTGCGAGGGGTGGTTCCGTTGGAAGACAAGGTGTGGTAAGGAAGGACTTGGATTCTCCCAGACTCCTCGCCCCAAACTAGATGACAAGATTTTCAGAAGCAGGATGTTTTCGTGGTTCCTGAGCAGGTGACTCGCCTGACCATGGCTGTGATTTGTAAAGGCCTCGGGGCGAAGAGTGCTGCGGATGTTGGTAGCGGGTGTAACGACTCGTGGCTCTGCAGTTTTCGGCATGACAATGAGGTGAAGCCATTGATATTGATTCAAACGGTACCTTCACTGCTCGAAGCTTATTCACCGCTGCTGTGTACGTGCACTTGCTAGCTGGAGTAGCTTCTATTGGCTGGCTAGCAGTTCACGCTTTGCTGTTCTTGCAGTGTTTTTTGCAAGCATGTCAAGAGTCAAACGATTCTGGTCGAGCAAGGTTTGCCAGGGGAAAACCCTTTTCGAATCAGAGTTGACACTTTCCTTGGGGGGCTCAAGAGTGGCATGTTCAAGTCCAACAATTTGAGTCTAAGCTGACTTGCAGTTGAGGAACATACTACAGAGTGACGAGTTTGGAGTGCTGTGCTGCTTGTACATTTGTCTGACTGCTTTCGCTTGTGAGCCCCACAGGAGTCATGTCGGATGAGCCATAGGGGAGTCTGTGTTGAATTTGCAAGTCCATCCTGCAGATCTCAAACACGCAGAATCGGACCAACATGCAAGGGATTCAAAAATAGTACATGTCAGGGTCCTGCAGATGACTGTCCTGCAGATTGGCCTGGCTTTTGACGACGATTTTGAGGAGACGGCCCTGCTGGTGTGGCCATCAGACTTTCCCAGTCTTCCTGCTCCTTCCCGTGTCACCTACCAGGCAGTCACGATCAGAAGGCCACGACCTGAACCAAGACTGCCGAGAGAGCCAGGCCTTACAGCTTCCTGCTCAAGAGGGTCGCTGCTTGTGCCTTGACGTGAGGCGATCCGCCAGAAGAGCCGGAGATGAATCGTCCTTAATCACTTGCTTGTGGTCCTTGCTTGCACTGCGTCAGCGCAAGGCCAAAGCCCATTGCACTCCACCTGAATGGTCAGGTGCGCGTCGAAAGTTGTCAGCTTCGCCTGATTCAGTCGTCCATGGTGCACGCAGCAATCGGTCGCCAGGTCGCCGCTGAAGATGTTGGCGATCTGCCCGTGAAGATCGAATTCGATGTCCAGCTTTCTTGGGACGAGGCCACGCAGCCCGCGCTCCGCGTGCTGCGCTCGGATTCCATGTCTGGAGCGATATCTGCACTGCTCAGACAAGAACAGCGATTCTTCGACACCGGCTTGTCCCGCAAAGTCCCAAGTTGCAAGTTGGCTCTGACTAAAACCGCAGTGCACAATGCAATGTGCCACTGGCTCCCACTGGCTGATACTGGCTCAGGGAGGCAGCGGCTTCCGACGATACGCCGTGCGAGGTCGAGGCGATGGAGGCGATTCGGCGGGCCGCGTGTTTTTGGGCTGTCGGCTCACCAGACGAAGGTCTTTTCCCCGCTAACGTCAGGCGCACACGACCTGCACTGGCTTCTACACGACCGACATAGGATTCGACCTAGCGAAGGCAGCCCCCAGCCTTCCTCAGCCGAGTTTGCTTGGCTGCGACTCTTAGGCCGTCTTCCTGCGTGCTACCGGTACCGTGCGGGTGCGCCTGTTGCTGGGAGCCTTGATCCTTGTGCCTGCGCTCGCAGAGAACAGTGGAAGCCGTTCAGGTCCTTGGAGTGCCAAAGTCTGTGACTCCAGCAAAGCTCTTCGAGAAGATTTTTGAAGTTGGGCATGTCGATCGTAATACAAATCTTGCAGCGAGACCATTGGGAATTGCAAGGGCAGGTCGCTTGGCGTGATTCGTTAACCTGTGGAGATGTCCTTGGCATCGGACGCACGACGATGGCCCGCTTTGGCTTACATAGTCGGTCGCGGGTACAACATGATATGCCTCCCATATTTCAGCATAGCCATGACTTCGATAAGTCGCCTCAGTCGTGACATCGCCTGCCCTTCCCGCACATGCCGTGCAGCCTGCTGCGCTTAGTCGGGTGACATGATGTAGGAGTATGAATGACTCCCACGGTGCAGGCAGGACGCCTTTCAGATGTGTGGAGTCTTGCAGACATACAGATGACCTGCAGGCGTGGATCAGCAATGCCCTGTCTGCTGGAATCTTCTTTGCGAGCCAGTAGCTGACGCCTCAAGCCGTATCCCAGCGAGTGTCACACGGTATTGCGGAAGCCACGCAAATGCGACTTGTCGTGTCGGAGGCATGGCCAGGTTGCCCTCACCACTTCTGCTTGGTGTGGGGCTTGATATCACGAAGTAGTACATTCCGTCGTGTCTGTTGCTCAGATATGTGCTCTACGGACACGTCGCAAGCCAAAGCCGATGTGCCCGTTGTGTCGTGCAGACAGCTGAGAACTGGACCCTGCGACAGAACACTTTCCAGAAGCTGTGAGATGCGCACTGTAGCCATGCAGGCTCCGGCAAGCCAAGTCAGGCAAGCAGGAGAACTGCAGGCCGCGTGAGCAAAGTCTGTGTGGGCTTGCTTCTCCGGATTTTGCGCTGTTACCCTTGGTTTGCTGGCTACGGCCACGGGTAGATAAAGTTTAAAGGATATTGCCATCTCAGCCAGCAAGTGCCAGGTCCAGTTTTTGCATTGCTCACGCGAAGTGTACTTGCTGCAGTTGTAGCTGCACAGCGCATCCCGCAGGTCAATGCCGCCCACGCAGTCCTCATACGCAAGGCTTGGCATCTTTAGCTCGCTGAGTTGCAGACCTCGCTCCAATTCTCGCTCGTGAACTTCGTGAACTTGAACTTCAGCTGCTTTAGCTCCTGCTCCAAACGCGGTAAAGAAAACCAACGCGACCCTGTGGCAGCCATCGTGCTTTGCTCTGAAATTCTTCCAGTGCATGCGAGATTCTCTGCATGGTGAGCCGATGAAAAGCCGATCTGCCAATAGGACTTACCGATGTGAGTTTGTAGTCATGGTGCTTGCAGAGCCGTATTGCCGCCCGATGTGTCTCTGCACGAGGCTGTTGGCTATTCCGCCTACGAGTCTCAGCGTCGCGAGACATGGGCGCAGGCAGCAGATCTCGACGCTGCTGGAGGCAACACTCACTTCATCTGCTGCAGCGGCAAGAGCATGCTTCTCGTTGCATCACACCAAAAGGATATCAAGCGCGACCTTTCGCTGCCAAGTACCGCGAGAAGTCAAACTGTTGTGTATAGTCTCAATCGCACTTGCAGGTTTGGGTGGTCCTCTACCTCTCGTAGCTGGGGGAAGTGAGGCTCGCTTGTGTATCCGAGACTTTTTCACTGTTTTTGCATTGGCCCCAGGCTTGGCAGCGGTTGAGATTAGGTTCCCAGCAGGAGGCGCGGTCCCCACCTCGTTGTCTGCGAGCTGTAAGCTGCCCAAAGAAGCATCCTTTCCGATGTGCTGATATCAGCTTCGGCTTCGCAGTGCCAGGTCATACTTGGGCCAAAATACGGAGAGTTGCTCAGTCCTCAGCTGCTACTACTGCTTCTAGTAGCCTGAGCCAGTGAGATGCTGAACCAGACAGGTTGAGACGCTCCAAGGGCAGAAAGGAGAGCTGCGCGAGCCTCAGGCTGTCAAATTGTTTCGATTCCATTTGAATACTGGCTTCTCTCGTCCCTGGCTTTTCCTGTCCTGCTCTCTTCGTCCCACCGTCCTTATCGCTCTCGCATTTAGACCTCTAAGCACCATCGGCTGCGACGAAGCCAAGCCTCTTTTAGAGCAGGGACCCCAAGAGCCTCCACAGAGCCAAAGCCAAAGAGCATTGTCGCATCGTGTGACGCCGCGTAGCTCGGTCCGTCGTGCCGGGCCTTGGGCTGTGCCGAGGTTCCGCCTTTGCGGTGCTGCTTCAGTGACAGACCCAGATCCAGCCTGCAACTGCCATCCCCTATAAAGCCACCAGCAAAGGCCCGCGCGGATCGAAGTGGGCGCCAAAGGACGTGTTTGCCGCATCCTGCACGCGAATGAAAGCACTGCGGCGCGTTGCTCAGGGGCTTTCAAGCACGTGTGGGTTGAGCATGCGACTCTGTGCTAAGGAAGAGCATCGGCATGCCATGCTGACATGCCTTGGAGCTATTTTCCACATCAATGCGCTAGCGCCAGCTGCATGTGGGCAGGTCTTGGTGGAGGCGGGAGCTGCATGTCGGATCATCGAGCTCAGTGAGGAATCGGAGGCCCGACGCAACGCCGTGACGAAAGCAAAGCAAAGGGCTAAGCTACGAAGCAGCTCCCCTGAGCTCATCATTGCATGTGGTTGTTGGTGCCAGGCGCAGAGCGGGGCCACTGGCTCAAAAGGTCAAGCAACATCACCTTGGGCGTTCTTTCCCCTTGCAAGGCAGAACCTTTGGTGATAGGGAAGCTTGAGGAGCTGGATGAGGAGGAGCTGGCGGCGGCCCTATGTGGGGAAGGAAGTCACAGGCTGCTGCCCAGCATTTAAGGTTCTCGAAGAGGGTCCGCTGGCGGCTGCCTCCGCGCGGGCACACAGCCTGTTCGTAAGGCTTTGAGCACCGGACTTCCATCCTAACAGCCTTTGAGTCCTTGAGGACATTGTCCATATCCTCGGTGTACTTGGACGCAACCTTCAGGCGAGGAGGGTTTGATCCTGCTGCCTGCGGCTTTTCCGTGCACTGAGGCAGTAAGGCAGCGGTGGATGATGACAGCAATGTTGCAGTTGCTGGACGAGGCCCTGCACCTTGTGAATTCAGGGCATTGCGAATCTTCGCTGTTGCTTTTCCAGGACCGGCGGAACCTGGAGAACTTGCAAGCAGATCGGCAGGGGCAGGAGCCTCTCAGCCGAAATTGGCCGAAATCCTTGCCGGTGCAACGAACCCCGAGGCTCGAGTCGATGCTCGATGTGATGATGTCATACCGGCCGCTGCCTCGAATGCGAGCCAAGCGGCCAAGCAAGCGATGGATCTGCAGCAGCTTCGGCAAGGCAAATTATTCGGCAGATGGATACGCTGCTGTCGCAAGCATCAGAAACGGCTGGGGCTCCGGAACCTGGATGCGCAAACTTTTCATTCTCACCTGACTCTGACTCTGACTCTACCCTGCGCTCTTCCAGGCTGAGCTGCTCTTGCCAAGAACAGATGGCGAACGTGAGGAGGACCTGTCAGACAGGGAATTCCGGGCCATGGAGTAGGCTTCAAGCACGTTGGATCTGGAGGACCCTGCGCTTCCGTTTCCCGAATCGATGAGTTCTGCGCACGAAAACCAAGCACCAATGAGGTGGACAATGCGTGCCAAGTTGCAGACTTGTTGTGACTAGCATGCAGGGCCTCAGGGGCACAAGCAGCAACAGCAGGGGTGGAGGGCTTAGACAGGTGGCACAGCGACTTTTGGTTTTCCACAAGGCAGATAGAAGGCTGGGAACACTGCCCGTGGAATGCGCAGTACCGCGGCAGCACGGCCTGAAGAAGGTCCCGGACCAGTTGACGGGTTGGAAAAATTCTGGACCCAGTCGTCGGCCGTCGCGATGAGCCTAAGGATGCAGTCTCCGAGAGTATAAGGCCGAATGGAAGACGAAGAGTGTGTGGCCCTGGCCCACGTCACCCTGTACACGACACCCTGCAGATACGAGACTATGCGAGACGGTGACGATATGCAAAAGGGCTCCGACACAAACATGTCGGCGATCCAATTGCAGGTGTGGATGCCATGCGGAATTGGGACCGACGGAATCGTCAGTGAGCAGTGCGGGTTTTGGACGACAGCGGCTGCGGAGCTGCATGGTCGTCTGCCCTCCCAGGGGGCCCATCCCAAGCTGGACTGCAGGATGAAGGGATCGGAAACGCAGAGCGACTGCGTTACCGAGAGTGGAGGGCGAGAGTTCTACTGGGATGGGAAGGAAGGGTTTGCGAACGGCACAGCCAACTCCCGCAGCGGCAACCCCGGAGCTGGCACCCTTCGTGGATAAAGGATCCGATTGGGTTGGAAGCTAGCGCCGATTGAATGTGGCAACGATGAGAAAACCGTGTGAAGGGCGGGAACTGAGCAGCTGCAGTACTGTACCGTGAAGATGCTGGTCAGGCGGCTTCCACCTGTCAGTGATGAGGCCGAAAAGGGAATTTCGCTCCAATGTCTTGTGTGAATTGAAGTCCCCAAAAAAGGTCCCCGCCGGACCGGCAGACACAACCATCGTTACGGCGGTTGCTGCGCAGTCAGAGGAGCCATTTCCTTGGGAGAAGTGCCTGCATCTTCATGTTGTAGCCCTCGTGGCCTTGCGCTTCTGCTTGAGGCTTCGAGGTTCCGGACGCTCAGAGCCCAGGGATCTCCTGCCTGCGGGAGCCTCAGTGCCGCTTCGTAGCAAGGCCACGTCTTGTGGTACCTGATACTCTTAACTAGTATGCTCTGGTCGGAGGTTTCTCAAGCCGAAGCTCTGCGCAGACGAGGCTTGGAGCAGGGCTTTGAAAACGTGACCCTTTCTGCCTTTCCCAGCATGAGCAGGCCACATTCTTCCCGCAGTCGGTGCCAGTGTTTCTGGCGTGCGGCTGCTAAGATCGAAGAGCAAGTCTGTGTAGAGAAGCAGTTCTTGTGCATCCAGCTAGACTCCACGGCGCAAGGCAGGCGCGCTACCTATATCCAGAACGCCTCTAGCATTCCGGCGAAACAGGCTTGCTGCACAGTAGCAATGGAACTTGAGCCACTGCGGAAGCAGATGGTCGAAGGAACCTGCCGCGAGCTGGCATTTACCCTCGCAACGTTCAGGGAAATCAGGAGCAGGGTCTGCTTTCTTAACCCGCAGCATCAAACTTCAGAACCCCGGCCCACGCGCAGGGCACTCGTGGACGCTGAACAGCAGCGTAGTTGAGCGAGATCCAAACGATGGGCACTTGCCTGGCATAGCTTGCACAAGGATAGAGCAAAGCTCTTTTAGCGAGGCTGTTGAGACAAGTGTGGCCAAGCCACGCGATTCGTGCGCCAGTTGGTCTGCCTCGAGAAAGACAACTGCTACTGACGATCTAATGCAATCCCGTGTACTGTGCTTTGACCTTGTTTCCGATTTCTGTACTATTTGGGCTCAGGGCTAAATTATTCTTTGTACAGACCTTTGCCCACAAAAGCTGGAAGGCATCCGAAGGCTCTGCAAGGTTGCTGGGACTGCGATGCCAGGGGAATGCCTTCGCTGACAAGGCAATGGCTGAGACAACTTCTAGCTCTCGCAAGTCAAAGTTGCAGAAGGCAGGACTGTCTTTTGCTTTGCAAGCTGGGCTGATGATGTAAACCGGTGCGAGCTGGGCAACCAGAGGCTAGTGCAGAGGCTGTCCCAGTCTCAGACGATGTGCAGCACATGGGATTGTGACGAGAATGCTTGCCTGAATCTGAGGGCGAGGTCCCAGTCGGTAAAGGAGGGAGGCAGCGCAAAGTCTTGCGTGAAAGCATCCAGGCTCCCATTGCACAACTACTTCATTGAAGAAAGACAGCTCTCATTGTCGCGGTTTCCTGTGCTGCACTAGCCAGGGCTGCTGCAGCTAATATGCGCAGTTATCACCATGACCGCTAAGCGACTCCGTGCAAGCTCGTGCCTGTCGCTCAAGCTTCTTTCTCATCTCCTGTGTCAGGGCATCACAAAGCCCGCAATCCGACGCCTTGCTCGACGTGGTGGCGTCAAGCGCATAAGTGGCCTTATCTACGAGGAGCCTTTTCCCGGGTGAAAAGTCTTTCGAGATGCTTGCTTGCTTTCTCTGCTGGATTCCACCCAACCCTCACATAGCACGACGTAGTCAACTTAGTCAGCAAAACTGAAACATGGTAGGATAGGCGGGATGGCACAATTCGACGAGTGACCTGTGGCAAACGTTCGGGCTTTGAGCAGAGGCGTACCGCTAAACCAGCAGGCGCAGGTTTTGCAATCTGCATACTCTGGAACTGTCTCATAAGGTACAGACGGGTGTTGGCGGCAGAATCTCAACAAATTGCAGAAGCAGGATGCCGTTGCCTCTGTATTGCTTAAGCTGTCAGGAGACTCGCGGTGTCTTGAAAACATTCTTGGAGAATGTTCTCCGTGATTCGACCGGGCCTCAACTTGGACACGCACGAAGATGGTGGTGAATTCTCAAACTTCAAGGATCACTTACACAGAACATGCCCGCCGCAAGACCGTGACCGTGTGTCTGGCATCGTCTTTGCATTTTCAAACGTGATGCCGGTACATTCGGCGGGGTTGCGGCCAGGCCATGGACATTGTGTATGCGCTCAAACGCCAGGGCCGGACGATCTATGGCTTTGGCGGCTAGGCCGCTGCGACGTACTGTAAGCCCTCAAACGCCTTTCTTTCTACAAGGAGTGATGCATACGTGTATGGACCTTCATTTAAACTGTTCTTGTCAAGCTTCGACTCCAAGGTGCTGCTGTGGGAAGACGATATGCCTGGATAGTACTGTGTACGCAGTGGTCAACTTGTCATTCAGCCCATCTTTCCTTACCATCAGACTGGTGGCGTGTTTGCTTTCGTGACATCTGCCGCAGCCAAAGCTAGGAAAGAGTCGGAGCGGACTGGGTGATATTGCCACGAGTCGTTGTGTAGCACGAAGGTATTATTTTGTAGTTGTTACCGTGTCAGAGGGTTTTGATGCGAGGTTTTTGTGAGACTTGCTTTGGTCCATCTCCGAAGCGTGTTTTTTGCCTTCACGCAGGATTGGCAGCATCTCTTTCTGAGGGGATCCGTGACATTGCATTGCCGAATGCCCAATGCAAGTGTGATACCTGGAAGCGACAGTGTATGTGGTCAGTTTTTATGGCATGACACAGTCCATTTCGCGAAGGAGTAGTATGAGCAACTTTCGGGTATCTTGCGAGATCCATGGCGATCCTGAGTTCCACAGCGAGGCGGTTATGTAGGGAATCGGTGCCAGGGCTGGGTGGAAGTAGGCGACCATGGAGGTGTAGCCCAAGCTTCGACACACAGCGGCCTCTATGCAATGCAACATACTGCAACAAGGTGTTGCCGTTGCCCATGCCTGGTAGCCTGTGTAGAATGTAGAGTACGAGGACCAGCGAGCTCGCCCTGCTTGAGCATCACAGGGCAATTAATGGCTCGCTAACCTCCGTGGCGCCGGGGTCACGAGGCCACTAGTGCTAATGTCAATCTACGGCTTCACACCCTCATTCTGACGCGCACGAGGAAAGGGTGAGCGTTTTCATGTGTGGTCGCAGAAAAGCGACTTGTGCTGACCGCCTCAGAAAACGCTGCAGCACATGCTGACTCTGCTTCAGAACCGAGGACTGAACCTGTCATGTTATTCGCTCGTCCGGGCTCCTAAGTAACGTCCACCTGCTGCTTGCTGCTTCGTCCCGCATCCCCAGGTGCCTTGAGCCTCCACTGTACCGGTACGTCCAGCTTCGAAGCTTCTTTGCGTCTAGTCCCGTCCAGGCCAATGGCGGAGACGACCACTTCGAGCTCCCGAAAGACGAAGCTGCAGAAGGCTACAACGGATCCACTCTAGACGAGCTGCCAAGAGCTGTGCAGTGCGGTCATCGCTGCATTTCCTGCAGGCTACTGTGAGGACCTGAGCACCAACTCCGCCAAGAATGGAATCAAGTGAGGAACCGTGTCGTTTCTATGCCGAGGCTGAGGAAGTGCCAGTGGGAAAAGCAGGCAATAAGCAGCGCCGCGTTCTCCGCGAAAGCATCCAGGACCTTGAGTTACAGTGATCGTTTAAAGCCCGTCACGAAGACGTGGAGTTGTGTTGCACCTCTCTACTGCAAGCGCAGGGAATCACAAAGCCAGCTATTCGGCGCCTGGCCCGACGTGGTGGTGTGAAGCGCATCAGCGGACTCATCTACGAGGACATTGGATGCTGCTGCTGGCCAGTGTCAGTGCCAGCGCTGGCTTTTGCCTTTTTGGAGTGATGGCATGCCGCGTCGAGACAGAATGACACGCTCCGTCCAGTGCCGCTGCCGTATGCACAACTCCGTTTAGCACTTTTTATTTTTTTCTATCCCTGTCTCGCTCTGACGCCCACGACCAGTACGACCAGGAGAACAGAAGACCACCGGGAGACCACCAAGAACGAGGAGACACCCAGAGACCAGGAGACCACACACCACCCAGACACCACCACCACCAAAAACATGCGGAGACTCCATACTCTTGCAGGATTCAGGAGCACGGCCAAAATGCTTCCCCCGAGTACTGGTGCAATTCAGACATTTGGAGGCCAGAATGAGGCCAATGTACAGGAATTCACATTCTTGCTTTCCGAGGGAAGCGGCCGTCAGGAATCCTGTGTAAATGATAGGGTTTGAGACTCTGAGAAGAAACTATGCACCGCACCGCAACAAGAGCCGGGTGCGGGGACTTCCCGTCGCTGGCCCCGTGGTCTAGCCAAGTCTCTGCACCTTTAACGATGGAGTCCACTGGAAGTCTTGCAAGAAGCCTGCAACGGCTCTGAATCAGTAAGTGTTTCTAATGCAGGGGGTGCAGAGGGACTTGGCCATCTGCTCCACAGAAATGTAGGATGCCATTGTCTTCGGGATCTGTGCGCGAGTGCAGGAGGTCGAGTTGAGGAAGCAGTATTGCCGGCATTTCGAATTAGCTGTGTGGCGCTGTTGGATGCCACTTCTGCCTCGGCTAATGGCTCATTTCCGCTTCAGTTTCTGCTTTTCGACTTTCAGCTCTTATTTCCGAGACGACCTTGTGCTATTCAAGCTGTGCTTTGGGCCCGGCTGCAGGCTGGTGTTGAACTAGGCCGATCTTAGCTGACGCAGCCCCAAAACCAGGCTCACGGTACCGCTGGTGGGAGCTTAGGATGATTAGGGCTCCACCCTAAGCCACAGTGTGGTTGCTTGTCTCCCGTTTCATTGTTCCATTGCTGTCCGACCTCTGTGGGCTGAAGGGGCCCCCGGCTCCTTGTGGAAAATGGGAGACGTAGTCGGGAGGTCCAGAACAGTCATGTGCGCCAAACTCTCCTCTGGGAAAGACTGCATGTGTTCGTCCTTCGTTTCTTGAAGCCGCTTCTCGGCACCGTTTAATCCTTGCACTCCAGTTCGCGCCCGAAGTGCTTACGATACTCCTAGCCACGCTGAAGGAAACCCGCGGTGTCTTGAAAACATTCCTGGAGAACGTGCTGCGCGATTCGAGCTTTCCTCGGTCTCCTCGTGAAGTGTCGCATCTGTGAACTTTAGAAATGCTGAGGATTACCTACACGGAGCACGCACGCCGCAAAACAGTTACGGCAGAAGCCTTACTTGCCCTACGGTCAGACAAAGGATGCTGCTTTTTTGAAGTTCGGGATTTCCTGCTCCCTCCGTCCCTCCCCATGAAGGCGCCCAGGATTGACCAGATCGACTGCCTGTAGGGACGGGGCAGCCAAAGTAGCACGTTCGTATATAGGGAAGCCGGGGTGGAACATCGGTGGCGACCATTGGGTGAGAGGCAGGGGGACTGGCCGCAGGGCTGTTTCGTGATTTCATTGATTCATGTTGCTTGTAGGCGTCAAAGCCACGACTACTAGCCTGAGGCAATGGACATTGTCTATGCTCTGAAGCGCCAGGGTCGCACCATCTACGGCTTTGGTGGATAGCAGGCGCGGAGGAGATACTCCGGCATGCACTGACTGCCCGACATCGTCAGGTGGACGTGCGTGGGTCTGAGAAGGCGTGGAGAAGTTTGACGCATTGTGACAGGTTGATCTGGCAAGCCTCCGTGCAAAGGCGCGGCTTAAAGGCAGACTGGAAGGAGCTTGAAATCGCTACAAGCGTGCAGCTCTGAAGCTGCTCGTGGCGGTGTAGCAGTTCCAGAGTCACATTGGACCGAGAAAGTGTATGAGATAGTTCTGGCAACTTGGTCGTTCTGCATGTTCACCTTCCAAGCCCTAAGCTGCACTTCAACTTTGTCACAAGGTCCTTTGTTTCACTGTTCTTCGTCTGCGTGAAAGCACGCACACAGAAACATGTGGATGCCATGAGGCGATTGTGGTAGAGACCTTCCTGTTCCGTGATTGAATGCTCACGCGCACAGTGCGTTGGCTTGTCATGGGGTCCGGGCAAGTGCAGCGCTGACAAGACCAAGATGGGGTGTCAAGGAGAGGAGAAAGCAGCACTGTGTTTCGGCCTGCCCGCCGATGTTGTTTGATCGGAGACTCTGCAGGGTTCAGCCTGAGTTGAGGGACCCGAGATGTTTGCCGTTGCCGTGACTCTTTGTGCGAGACGATTTTGTCACCAGCCAGACTTGCAAGTCCAGCAGCATCTACATGTTGGTATTGGTATCACGTAATTACGTATACCTCTCCAATTATTGCCTTTAGCGCTCGTGAGCTCACTCGACTTTCTGGCTTCCGAACAGTCCGCGTCGAAGCCCTTGACTGCCTTTGACTACCTTCTGGGGATTTGCTCTTGCTGCTTCATGCGCGAATGTTCTCAAGGTAATGTGCGGAATCTTGGCGCTCTTTGGAGTTCAGGCACTTTGGGACCGGGCAGTCTTTCGCACTTGTTCTGTCATGTCGGGCAGGAAGCAGGCCCGCTCAGAAAGCAGGTCGTTGAGGCCGCAAAGCTCCTGCGCCAGCACCTAAGAAACTGTCCGTCAGAACGTCCCGCGTAGCTGGATGCTGACAGAGGACACAGAGGACCTGACTGGAGTGGAGTCTACTGCGAGGCAATTCCACGTCGAGTGCCGTAGAGCAACTGACATTCACCCTCACTTACTTCGCCACGTCTTGGCAAAGAAAGTGCAGTGTGCCAGGGATCCGCAATTATTGCCCACGAGCGCCTGGCCATTGTCGACCCAGACAGTGGAGATCAGCCCCTGTACAACGAGGCGAATGGTGGAGCAGCCTTGTGGTGTATCTAGGTAAGTAAATGCAGTAAGACACGCAGTCATGTCTTCAACCCGCCATCTGCGAGTCATTGCAGCGCGGAGCTTATGTGCGTGCTCCGTGTTGAAGATGTTGCGAAGAAAAGAAGTCTGGTGATTTCGGTGAGCTCTTGGACTCGACTGGTCCGAGTGAACATCAAGAGAGTTGGCCCGCCTTTTCTCAGGGCATGGTCATACTCTCGGTCGGTCCGGTCGGTCGACGCAAAGGTTTTCGCCTTTGGGTTTTGGCCTTCTTGGCATTGGCTGTTAGCTTCGTTGAAGTTTCCAAACACATATGTTGCAAAATGCTCAAGCTTCCAGCATGTCCAGCCTGAGAATGAGATCTGCTGGAGCCTGAGAACCACCGACTGTGTTAAGTGTTGAAGGATAAGTGTTTAGGTGATGTTTATGGGGCCAAGCTACGTCATGACCTGGTATGGTATGCTGCGAACATTCAATCACCAAGGTATGCTTTATGTTGCAGACGTTTTTGGTGTACATCGCTCATCTCGCTTCCGTTCTATTGTTTTTTTCCAAGCTTGTAATAGTTCGTGAAAACCCAAGCAAGGTATCCTTTGGAAAACCCTTGTGAAACCTAACATACTTCTCGAAGCAACGCTAAAGCTACTGAAGCTTTCCAGACCTCAAGACAAACAGCTGCCACCAATTAGATCCCGTATAAACCACTGAAGCCGCCCGTGTCATGCATAAACCCTTGCACAACTCCGGTCAGCCTCGCCCAGCCCGATCTGTGGTCGCGCATAGAACGGATCTCGAGTTGTCACTGCGATCGGTAGCATGCGAAGTAAGACCCAACACAAGCTTGTATGCCCCCTGACACGACCGTGGGCAAAGCGTTTGCCTGAACGTAGAAACTTCTTGTTGTACGAAGTCTTGTCAGTACTGTTGTGCGGGTTTGTTGCGACTCTTCTCCAGCTCGTTCAAGCTATCTAAAGCCCGTAAACAGCTCAAGCAGGAATCCGGATCCCCGTACTTCCCTCGGAAACCACGCAAAGCCGTTATCAACACCCTGAGGCAATCATTATAACTCCTTTCAGCATGTTTGTGCCTTAATTAAGCCTAAAGAGACATCATAGAACTCTAAATCAAACATCGCTTGAAGCACGCAGGGAAGCCCCAGAGTGCAACAAACACCACAGCACAAAAAGCCAAATACCCTAAATTGGAAGCGTGACGCGTACATTGTGCTCGCTAGAGGAAAGTTCCGTCCCCAGGGAGCATGGTCGTGATAGGAACTTGTTCGGAAGGCGAAAGACATTGTTTTGGGAGTGAACGGCGAGATCTACAATTACGAAGAACTGCAGAAGGGCTTGGAGGTTCGGCCTCATGTTTTTTTCAGGCTTGCTTGCTGATGAACTGGTCTGGCAGGCTCGTGCTCACGGCAAGCATCGCTTCCTCACGAAGAGCGACTGTGAGGTGGACTAGTGAATGCAGGCGTTTGTCCCTGCGAAGTGTTCTCGTGTCAGCTTCCGGACAGGTCCTGCTCCACCTGTATGCCGAGGTGCCGCTCTGTGGGTTGCCGACCTCTCTAGAGAAGCGCGTCGCAGACATTGAAAATGACGTGATGACTCGCCTGAAGGACGGCATCGACTTCATGTCGAAGAACGAGGCCACCGCTTTGACCACCTCTTGCAGTTCCGTCCGGGCTCCGACAGTGCTCAGGTGTGCGGTATGTATGCCTTTGCGATCTGGGACAAGAAGAAGCAATCGTGCCTCACCAGAAGAACAGTAGTGCAAACAGAAGTGGCATCAGCTGATATTGCTTGCCCAGCCAGAGGCCTGTAATTGGATGTGAAAGTGATCGCGTCCGCATTTGGTACACTCGGGCCATTCATCCATCTTCATCGAATCTTCGCTGTGTCCCTCATCAGCTTCATTACCAATCACCATCCCTGCTGCCATAATCATCGCCATCACCACCACAATAATGTAGCATCACCGCATCACCACGGGCTGGACCACCACCACCGCCGCCCATCGCCGCCGCCGCCACCATCACCACCACCACCAACAACAACAAGGAAGCACGTGCGTCTGCCGCCGCGCGGGGTGTGTCGTTTATGTTTGGGAGGTTTTGTGGTCGAAAGCACGAAAACCCTGTGTTTTGCGAGGTTTTCGTCAACAACACGACGTTTCGGGGTTTCGTTTTCCAATGTTCTTTG